ACATTTTGCTTTCCTCTGCTTTTTTGCAGGAAATCTAAACGATTGAACGTCTGTAGATTTACTTTTGGAATTTGGTGCTACACAATAATCCATTGCTTAAAGGTTTGAGTACTTATATACGTAATAATAGTCGACCCTACGCAGGAACTATGTGTGGAGTGTAGTCTATCGGTAAGTCCCAAAATGGCCGCTGCCGCATAGAATCACGAGAGCGTGTCCTGACCTTCTCATATAGACCTTGAAAGTGGCATTTTACCGATTTTAGCTAGGCAAACGAAGGAAGTGGCATGAACATGCTGTTATCTATATTCTGTAGATATATACTATCCGTGTATCAAATCATCCCTTAATACATAACAAATCTATATTCTATACAATCTATAGCAGTTCAATGAAGTATCAGGAAGTGCCTATACGTGCCTATACGTGCCTGTATCTGATGTCTTTTATACATGACCAAGAATATTTTAAAATATTAAATTACAAACGATGTTCTACTCTATGAAAGATTTTAAGAATTTAATCTGTTTTAATCTCACATTTTTTATTTTAAAATTTATTGTCTTAATGACTCTTCGTAATAAAATATCAAGAAATATTTTAGAAATATTTCTGACTATATTTTTTATTTGAATAAGTTGATTAATTAAAATTAAACAATAAGTTGATTAATTTTAATTAATAAGTTTTATTTAATTTATAAGTTTTATTAATCAACTTATTCAAATTTTTATTTGAATAAGTTGATTAATTAAAATTAATCAACTTATTCAAATAAAAAATATAGTCAGAAATATAAATTTAGTCAGAAAGTAAATTTACACATAATAAATAAAAATATAGTCAGAAAGTAAATTTACACAAAATATTATGAATAATATTGTCCACTTACTGCTTAATATTGCTTTAATTTTTCAAAAAAAAAATTCTTATTGTATAATTTTACAACGTAACTGATTTATTTATGTGAGGCAATAGAATCTTAACAGTTAAATGACTAGTCACAATTTTGTTAAATTGTAACTAGTCATTTAACTTTAAGAAGCAAAATTACCATCTTATCAGCTACAAGGGATGATAAACGAAATCCCGATCACTTGGACCGCCTGGGTGGCCAAGGCGTTAGCCCCTAATTCTAGGGACCAGGAATTGAGTCTGGGTGGATCAAAAATACCCAGAAAATTTTCGGGAGTGGTCGTCTCGGATATATCGTCTTTCACCAACCGACCGTCTCATTGTGGGTGTGATGAAAGGTCTTAATTCCCACAGGGTGGAGAATCAAAAAGTAATATATTCAACTTGGGTGTCAGGGTCATTTTTTAAAACTATTTTTGTCTTGTGGGCACTAACAGGCATTTTTTCAGGATTATCGTGAAGTTTGGCTAGGATTCAATTCCGGATCCCGCCGGAGCGGTAGGCTGCCATTTTAACAGTTCAGCTATTCGGCTGCCTGCAGAATCATAGCATCACTTGTGGAACGGAAGTTTAAATAATATTTATAATTATTTAAATAATTATAAAAAGTATTTTTATCTATTAAAATATTTGAAAATTAAATCATCTACTGAATAATTCTTGAACTCGGGTGAACGTCGGATTTGAAGGACATAATATTTCGGTTTATTCGTCCGAAAAATCTCTTTTACGCGGTTGTAAAAGTGAATGATTATATCTGGCAAATATTGCTATTTTTAGCTTCGCATTAGAAAGTATTTTGTGCAGTTTCTTTGAACTTCGATCATACAAAATACTTTCTAATACGAAGTTCAAAGAAACCGCACGATCATTTAAACATGATTTTTTTCTAAATATGTACTGTAGAACTACGCAAGGTCGATGTCGTGACGAAGCCGGAATTTTGCAATTCGATCTATGGACTGAGATATTCGCGTTAAAATTTTTTCATGTATATTCTAAGGGAGGGTTGTCCGTTGTAAGCTGACGACAGGAACGCCCATACATTGGGGCACGTCCTTCCCACTTTATCGTCAGGTTGCCCTTTTCTAAGGGAATTCTGAAGTTCATTTTATTTTTAAATCAGTTATTCATTTTTATCACGGAAAACTTTTTCACTGATGACAAAATAAAAATAAAAATATAGGGTTAGCGAGAAATAAGTTTCCCACTTTAAAAACCTCTGGAGTGCGTTTTACTGCTCGAAATGAGACAAAATCTGAACTACATATAATTCAAATGATGCGCTTGACATTTCTCAAATAAAAAAAAATAGTACAAAAATCCGTCGAATGGTAGCGCTGAAGCACAAAGAAATATTGAATATGAGTGCACATGTAAATGTTGAATATAAAACATTAAAACTGCTCAATATGTCCTTCTTAATTTTGAACAATGTGTTCTAATTGCAAAACCGTACTAAGACAGCATTTCACAGATGCACGGGTAATCAGCGGTTATTTTCCTACAGCATGGCCTCTTCGCTCGCTGGACATCATTCCTGCGACTTTTGATGATGGGGTTTCCTGAAGGACAACGTCTACCGTAGACCTGCATCTGTGCTATATCTGAAGGAAAGCATTCGGTACCGTGTTCTGGATATTCCGGCAGACTCACAGCGTTCAGCTGTGGAAAATACGGTTTTGCAATTAGAGCACATTGTTCAAAATTAAGGAAGACATATTGAGCAGTTTTAGTGCTACATATTAAACATTTATATGTGCACGCATTTTCAATATTTCTGTGTGCCAGTGCCACCTATCGATGGATTTTTGTACTATTTTTTTATTTAAGAAATGGCAAACGCATCATTTGAATTATCTTGGAGGTAATGGATGGCCGCCATCGGTTAGATAAAACCTGGCCGTCTTTCTCATCCATTTCCATCTCCACAAAGACTGTCTTTATCAGAAGGCGGTAAACGTGAATTAGTTAAGTCCACGACCACGTTTTAAACTAAAACAACATTTACTTACAACAATCTTACGAGTACACTTGAGAGAGAGCTACACGTGCTCATGGCAGCGATCACCCGACAAGAAAAAGCAACAATACCCAGAATCCCATCCGGAAAAACCCGTGTCCCCGTTTTTCAATCCGGGATTCACGGGAAACTCCTAGAGGAGTGGCGCCATCTCACCAGTCCGTGATTTCTCGCCGCAATCTGTAGTCCAAATTTTGTCTCATTTCGAGCAGTAGAATGCACTCCAGAGCTTTTTGAAGTGGTAAAGTTATTTTTCGCTAACCCTGTACATTATGGGTGCGTTCTTTTATTCCTCCGCGTAACTCCGCGCGAGCGACATCCGTTTAAAAACGTGTTCCTAAATTCTGGTCGGAGTGCGCGCCGTCGAACGGAAAAAACGGTCGCTTGTAGCAGTACAGTTAACCCCCGTATAACACGGTAGTTACGTTCCAAAAGATTGCCGTGTTATGCGAATCAAAGAACTAGTACGAAAAGGAGGGTTAGGTTCCAAAAACAGAGTTAATTATATTGAACTTGCTTATTTATTAAGTGCGTTAGATAATCTATTAA